ATTGACAGTGACATTTCGGTGAGAAATGAAGCTCTTAGACCTCCAGTAATGAGATGACTTACATGCTCTCCAATTGCCCATCCACCCCACCATCGGATCCAGCTTAGTGGCCACCGCATTCCAATAGGCACGTACATAAACCTGTACTGCACGCCACCACGATGAAAGCAATGTGTGGTGTAATGTCTTTTCAGCCCAGCTGCTGCTGCAAACTTGGTAAGCAATCTGTCGTAGCTCATGTCACATTTAGGATGAATCAGTTCATTTGGGGCGATGTATGGGAATATGTAGTCATCGCCTTCAACTTTGTGGTTAGGTTGGAGCTCAATACTTTCCATTCCTCCACTGATTCCGGCTGGAATCAACAGGAATCCAACTGGAATCAACAGAAATTGAACACTAGGACTTCTGGTTCATTAATTTTGGACCCTGAATGTCCTTCTTTAGGTCAGACAAATAGAATTGTAGCACTAAATCTTTTACTAAACAAGGGCATAAGGCATATGACTAGTTACTTACTACTACATGTTTATTTATTTCAATCAGATTCAGAGACATTAGATTCTGCATGTTGTTCATCCAAACCCTAGTCTTCATCATTACCATTAATCTCCTGAGACTTTGCTTTTGTTTCCTGTACTTAACTCTCCCCCATGTATTCCCACCGGAATCCCACTGTAGTCCGGGTAAAGTCTGGCATTCTGGCTGCAGTCCTGGGGGAATATGGTAGGACTGCTTTCCTACTCTATTCCCATTTCATTCCAGTGGGAATCCAGTAGGAATTCCAACTCAATTTAGACATCATGTGACTTCATGCCTATCATATTTATTGTAAGTCTAATGTAGTCAGCCAATTTATTATTATATCTTGTCCTATAATAACCTCACAAGTTTCTTCTTAGAACAGTTATATAGATTCAAATTCTAATATATTGAAGTGGTACAATACTTTCCATTGGCACTGGAGGGAGGGGGGAACAAAGGGAAGGAGAGCAAGGGGAGAAGGGAAGGAGGGAAATGGGAGGGGGAGCAATGGGAAGGAGAGCAAGGGGAAAGGGAGCAATGGGAGGAGGGGGATGGAGGGGGAGGGAGTAGGATGGAATGATGGAGGGATGGGGAGCTCACCTGGGCTCGTCATTGCCCGTGTCCCTTCACTTTCGTCTCCGTTAATAAGCGGGGGTCGTTGTGGGCGCTCAGGCGTTGTGGTGGTCGTTGTGTCGTCCGCAAGTCGGGGGGTCGTTGCTGTCCCTAGGCGTTGTTGTTCACGGGCGCGTTCTCGTTTTTGGTCGTCCCCGTTGGTGTCGTCCTGTTGTTGTTGTGCCGTTTTGTCGTGTCGCGTGTTGGTGAGTCATCGGTTGAATCGTTGCCACGTCGCAGGATAGCGACGTGGCACCTGCATCGGGTGTGAGATGGGATGGGGAAAGAACGGTGCTGGGTGCACTTACCTGGCATGGACAGTGACGACGGCTTGCGTCGTCACCGTCTGGACGACGTGGCACATCTGCCACGTCGTCTCACCTCCTCAGCGCT